ATGCTAGAAATTAATCTTAGTTTAAAACAATTTTAAAAATATTTTGAACCAGAAAAAAAATAATTTAAAAAAAATTAGACTTGACAGGTCAGGTTCCCGCTCTTACGTATCCTCCGTGTGTAACGTAGGAATCAAAGTTACCACGTAGTTTTTTTTCAAAAATTGTATTTTGGATAAGTTTCAAAGATTTTCTGTCTTTTTTGTTTTTTTTTTTTTTGAAAAACTTGATTTTTCTTTATTATTATTTTTAAGTAAATCCACTCCTGCACAAGGTTCAAGTTAGCACACGGCTACTCAATAAACCCTTACGATCCAAGCAACGTTGAAGGTGGATCCTCCACTCTATCAAAATTACTTGGCCGTTACGTGGACTCAAAAGATTCCTTTTTTTAATAATGAAAAATTGATATAACTTTTAATATGACATTTTTGCACGTAAAACAAGAAACTAACGAGAGACATACAGAACAAATAAACAAATAAAAGAACAAACAAAAATGATGAGTAAATAACTCTTATTCAATTTAGGAAATAAGTTCTTTTTTAGGTTAGGATATGCAAAGAAATTAGGAGTTTTAGAATTTATGAAAAGAAAGAATTTTTAAGATTAGAAAAAATTAAATTTTTATAATTTGCAAAATTGTTAGGGTTAAAAAAATAGTTTGTTTTAGACCTTATAAAAAAAATTGAATGATTTTGGGTTAGAAAAACAAATATTATTTTTAAGGTTTGCAAAAAAGAATAATTTAGAGTTAGAAAAAAAATAGTTTGTTTTTAGGGTTTGTAAAAAAGGTAATACTCAGAGTTTAAAAAAAATTAATTTTCATGGATTTAGATTATTTTTTTTTAGCGTTTGACTGAGGGTTTTTAAGGTTAAAAGAACATTAGGGTTTTTAGGTTTACGAAAAAAATAAAATAAAAGGGTTTATCATTAAAAAAGGGCTGTTGGAGAAAAATTAAATTCTTTAGAATTTTGCAAAGGAATGATTTTTGGGGTAAAAAAAATGTTTTTTTTTTCACAAAACAAACAAATATTTCATGTAAAAAAAATTGGGATTTGCAGAAAGAAAAATTTTAGAGTTAAAAGGAAAATTAAAAATTTTGTAAGTTCATAAGAAAAGGAAAAGTTTTTAGGTTAGATAAACTAAGATTTGTAAAAGGAAAACATTTTAATACAGATGAAAGAAAAAACACATAAAGATATGATAAGTAAAAGAAAAAAGGAATAACAAAAGAAAAAAGAAATAGTAGTTCTTACCGAATGATAAAAAGAAGTGGATTATATTTTTGTTGACTCATTTGTGATGACTCAGAGTTTTTGAGTCAACTTTTCCTTCAACCTTCTAGATATGTTCTTTCCAATTGATCTCTAAGACTATGCTTTAACTCTCAGTTATTTTTTTTTAGCTCTTTCCTCTGTTTCTCGAGCTCTCTCTCTTGAATCTCCTCTTTCTCTTCGTTTCATGAGCTTTCTCTCTTGAATTCTCTCTTTTTTTTCTCTCTGTGCTCTCAAAGTATCTCTGTAAAGAAAATTAAAGGTGTCCACCTGCCAAGTCCCCATCTCTGAAGACCTAAGCTTCTTATTTATAGGCATTTTTTAAAACCCTAGATCCTAATAAAGGCTCCCTTATTTTCCGATGACCAGTAATCAGTTTTTTTTTTCTTTTTTATCTATTTTTCTAAAAATCTACTAACTACTTTGACCATTTCTAAATCTGATTTTACATTTAAAAATTAAAAATTTAAATTTAAATTTTAAATTAATTTTTTATCTATTTTCTTAACCTCTTAAAAAAAGAAATTATTATATTTAATTTTTTTTGTTTTGAAATTTATTTGTGACAGGTACCGGAATAAAATTGGGTATTCACAAAGAGTTTTAAGAGGAGTCTTTTTATGTCTGATACCTTGCTGCTTATGATAGACATAAAATGATCCTTAGTACTCACCATCATTATCAGTATGTATGCATTTCAGGTTCTTGCCTGACTGCCTCTCAACCAAAGCATGAAATTATTTGAACTTTTCAAACACTTGGTCTTTTCTCTATAATGTATAAACCAATAGCTTCCTAAAATAATCATAAATAAAAGTAACAAAGTGAAGTGCACAACTAACCTTCAATGGGCCACAAACATCAGAATGCACCAATTCAAGCAACTTTAACTTTCTTAAAGGAATATGCTTCTTAAAGGATACTCTAGTTTGTTTACCAGCCATGCAATGAGAATATTTCTCCAATTCTGCATTCTTTAATCCCAAAAGCACATCTTTTTTAGTTAAACAATTAAGCCCCTTTTTCATTAATATGGCCAAGTCTTCTGTGCCACAAAGATGCCTCCATATACACAACATTTACACTGTCCTTAGCAACTAAAGATTTAGTCTAATACAATTTAGAATTTTTCTCCCCTCTAGTCATAACCAAGTTACCTTTGGTAAGCTTCTATTTACCAGAACCAAAGTGATTGTCATAACTACTATCATCAAGCAAATGCACAGAGATCAAATTGAAATGAACATCTAGAGCATGTTTACTCCTTTAAGTAACAACTGCACTCCTATATTGATTTGCAAGTAAACATCACCAACACCAACAACCTTTGATACACTAGCATTATCCATCTTCTAATACTCCAAAATCACCAAAAATGTAAGATGTGAAAAACTCCTTCCTTGGTGTAACGTGCATTGTAGCACCATTATCAATTATCTATATGCTCTCATCTGATACAAGATTAAAAGACTCATAGTCACGAAGAAAAACAAGATCACTACCTGTAATAGTAGTGACACGATCATCATCATGGATTCTTCTCTTTCTCCTTATCTCTCTTGCCTTTGTTCTCCTTTTTCCATAGAAAATAATTACTTGCTCTTGCTCTTCTCTCTACCACCCTTTGTTTCCTTTTTTTGACTACTCCCTATATTTTCTATGACAAACACCTCAGATTGAGATAAAGAACGTTGTGCCTTCCTTCTCATCTCTTTATTAAGAGCACCACTCTTTGTCATTTGGAAAGAAACAACGCCATTAAGGACTGAGTTTGTAATTGAAACCTAAAATATCTTTAAAGACTCAAGTAGAGTAATCAGTAGCTATAGTCCTAGAACTTCATCATCAAAATTGATACTCATTCTTAATAGTTTATCTAAGAGCCCTTAAAACTCATTCAAGTGATCTGAAATGGAAGAACTCTCCTTGTACCTCAAATTCATCAAGTAATTCAACAAATACAACTTATTATTGCCTAACTTAGAAGCATACAAGGACTCAATCTTCTCCCACAAAGTTCTAGCATGTGTCTCGTTAGCAATGTGATTATAAACATTGTCTAAATATTGTCAAATAAAACCACACACCTGTTGGTGCTCAAAGTCCCATATTTCATCATACATAGAATTCAACTTTTGAGTAGTAAAGACTAAAAGATGCAATTTCTTCACAAACAATAAGTCCTTTATCTTGCCTTTCCACAAATGATAATTTGTACCATTCAAAGCAACCATCTTTTGTATTTGCCTCTATCATTCAAACAAGTAAATATAGTCCCAAACCAAGGAGCTTTGATGTCACTCTTATAGGGAAAACAACAACACAACAACCAAAAGTAATAAAGTACACAATGGAAATAATTTCTCCAACTTGCAAGAATCAGCAAGGAGCAACAACAACAATAAATGACAATAGTAATTACTGAGAAACACAAATATTTTTAATGTGAAAAAATCCTCTCAATGTGAGAAGTAAAAAATCCACAAGGACAAGCCAATCAATCAAGCTCCATTATGATCAAATAAGGGGTACAAGAGAGTCTAATCAAATGCACGAACAAGTTCTTGCAACAAGCTAATATATTAAAGCGATAAAGCTTTTAATATGAAGAACTAAGAAGAAGAAACCTAAAAATAAAGCAACTATGTGAAATTTATTTCTCTAATCACAAACTTCCAATCCATGATCCCATGGTCAAAACGAAGAACGTTGTGTCACGAACTTGCTGTCCAATTTTAGCCTGATCCAACAATGAAAGAAGCAAAAATAAAAAATTTACTAAAACTAATATGTGAATACACGAACCAATTTTTCTGTCCTTTTTTTTTCTTCTTTTTTTTCTCCCAAAAATTGTGAAATTAACAAATTCTTTTAACCTAGAAGACCTCTCTTCACTTAAGTTAAATGAGACAAAATAAACTAAACAAATTTAGACTTTTTGGATACATAATTAGGAACTTAACCCAACAAAATCTTGCTTTCATATACTAAAATCAATTATTTATTAATTAGTATGATAAATTTTTAAAAACTTCTTAATTTCATGAAAAATCAAAATAAAGTTTTTAAAGGGGAACCCTGTACAAATTACATTAATTTAAATAAAAAATTAGCAAAAATATTTATCATCAATATATTATTTTAACTTTAAAAATTGACGGATAAAGATAAAAAAAATAATAAAATTGCTATAATGAGACTGATTCAACTGCATAAAAACTATCATATAACTATATATTAACTTTAAAAGATTTAACCTTAATATTAAAAATATATTTATTAAAAATAAATTTAAAAAAATTAAAAGAGCTAAAAAAAGGATTTGCAAAAAGCAAATCCCAAATTTTATCACAACAAACCAGCCCGATCCGTCACATTTAAGGAACCCAACTTAGAAATTGGTTAATAAAAAAATTTGTCAATAGAAAGTGGACTTGAATTACTTCACACAGGACTCGGGGCTACGAGTGCATGATCCAGTACAGCGGCGTCCATGATACCACAGTGCCCAATCCGCCAGGTCAGCAAAGAAAAGGTTCCTTCCGTTGATAGCAGTTGTTGGCGTACACAACCACAAGCTGGAAACGTAGGCGTGTCCATATTGGAAAATTGCTCGATGCCTTTTTTTCCTTTGCGTCATTCGGGCTTCTGTTTGCTTGCCTCTAACTAGAGAAATTGGGCACTTTAATATAATAGAAATATAGAATAGTGTGAAGAACGCACCATTGAAAGGGAAAACGACAGGACAACAGTGAAGGAAGGAAAAGAGAAAGAGAAAGAGAGTGGTTTACGACACTGTGCTGCTTCTCAGTCGCGCAATCGCTGATCCGTCACACATGCGGGATTGAATCTATGAGAACAGAGCATAACGACGCGCAGATTTTGGAATTGCTTTCTAGGTTTTGAGTTTTGGTTCTGATCGACCGACGATGCTGGCGAATCATTTTCAAAACGGCATCGAAACGGCGAGGCTCGTTTGGTCGCGGATTCCCAACTCGGAAGAATCACATCTCCTTGACGACGCCGTTGGCATCCTCAAGAAGAACGATGGAAGCGGCGTTGAGAGTCTTGACTATGAAGTCATAGAGAACTTTGCTTATCGTGAAGAGCAGGTTCTTCTTCTTGTTCTTTTTAACTGTTATTCTTATTCATTTTTTAATTAATTAATTATTATACTTCAGTTATGAAATAATACTGAGCTGTGCTTTGAGATTTGTAGGCGCAAAGAGGGAAGCTGTATGTGAGTTACTTGCTAGTGGTGAAATGGTTCTTTGCCTTGCTCATTGGCCTTTGTACGTTCTTCAGTTTTAATCTCGGTTTTGGAAATGCTATTTTAATGTTGACGCACTTTTTGGTTTCACTCTTGTGTGCTTTGATTTTTAATTGCGGTGATTTAGTTAGTTTTTGAGGATAGTAAATTGTATTTTTCATCCATTAGATAGCGCATTTATACGCAGGGAAGCATTTGGGGAAGTGTTGTAAACTTGTCATTCATTTAGGAAAAAGTATAAGACACGAACACGAAGCTTTAGTTGAGTTTGAACTTGTTTTAAAGTTCATATGAGTGCAGAAAACTGAAATTTTTCATCACTGAAATGTCTTATTAATATTTGTTCATGTCATATCATATCAAAAATAAGTTTTAAGTGCAACGAGTGAAATTGTCTATAACACATAAGGCATAAAATATATTTTTTTCTCCTGACAATTTTTACTTATTTAAATTATTTGTTAAGACTGGTTTCCTTATTCAATGGAAACAATTTATTTTAACGCACATTTGAGATTAATTTTTCATGACTAGGAATTCATTGACTTTTGGTGAAGTTTCCAAATTTACCAAACACAGCTTCAGTTTGGTTCATACGTCACATGTCTTTAATACTATTCCCTTAGTTCTATACTACTTCATAATTTTTTTATGCATAATTTTCTTTGATTGCGTGCAGGTACTGGAGTTGCTGCAGTCATCATCAATATTGCTGTTGAAAATTTTGCTGGCTGGAAGTTCTCAGTGACATTTGATATAATTCAGAAATCATATGTCGCTGGCTTTGTTGTATATGTCCTGTTCAACTTGGTTTTGGTGTATTCCTCTGTATATATTATCACACAATTTGCACCAGCAGCTGCTGGGTCTGGTATTCCTGAAATCAAGGGTTACTTAAATGGTGAGATATTCTCTTCAAGGGTTTGAATTTTGATCCAGTAAAATCTCCATGTACACTGAGAGTGCCAATTCTCATTTATATTCAGGTGTTGATATTCATGGCATTCTTCTTTTCAGAACTTTGATTGGAAAGGTGTGATAGTTTTTTTTTTTTTTTTTTCCTTCATAGCTGTGGCTGTTGGGGGAGGGAGGGGTGGGGGTTCTTTTATAAATGTTTGTCTGCCTGTTAATTGCAAGATTTTTCCTACATGCTACAGATATTTGGAAGCATTGGTTCAGTGGGTGGAGGTCTTGCTTTGGGTAAAGAAGGTCCTCTTGTCCATACTGGTGCTTGTATTGCTTCTTTGCTTGGACAAGTAAGTACTTACTACTCAGCATGTGCTAGTATCGACAGTAAGTTAAAAACAGTCTATTCAGAACCTAGATAATGTGACCTTGCGAATATATCTTTTCAATACTTTATTTAACTTGACTAATTTAATCATTTAAATGAAACTAAAAAGTGATATCAATACCACCTGAAGTGTCTATTATAGTTTAAATGATCTATGTTTTGTTCACAGATTACCCAAATAATCCTTGTGCATTACCATAGCCTTGGCTATTCCTTTCTCTCAGAAAATGATAAATACATAAGGCTGGACCGACTTCATCCTCAAATTGGGTTAGTCTAATCTCTTTCCGACCAGGCTAGCTCAATTTAAGATTGAGCCGGCCTGATTCTAGCCCAAATTTAATGATTGGGCTGACCCAATTTGATCCTGAACACATATAGGAAGAAGTTTGATTCTTCAAAGCTTCCACAAGTGAGAGATACTGAGTTCTGTGTTGTTTACATTTGTATATTTATGTATATCCTTTTTCTAAGGTGATAATAACATTTATCAACCCAAAGACTTCAATTGCCGAAGTTGAGCTTGTGTGTGATTTTTACTGTATACATATGCATGCAAGCAAGAAACTGAACTAATCTTTGATGTCATGCCTTGAGCAGGGTGGATCTACAAAGTATCATCTAAACTCAAGGTGGTTTCAAGTATTCAAAAGTGACCGCGATCGCCGTGATCTTGTAAACCATTATGTTCCTTTTAATCTACTAGTTATAAATTTTACCTTAGTAGGGCAGTGAATGTACTTTTTATATTGTATTCCATGACCCCTACCCCCTTCCCTTCACCAAAATGGCAATGACCTCCAGTTTATAAATCTGCCCCGACCCTGAACAAGGAAGAAGAAAATGCTCATTTTTTAATTTCATTGATGTCTTAAAAGGTAACCTGTGGGTGTGCAGCTGGAGTTGCTGCTGCATTTAGAGCTCCAGTTGGTGGTGTATTGTTTGCACTGGAAGAGGTTACATCTTGGTAAGAATTTTAAAGTGTTGATCCAATGAATCTGTTCGCTTATAAGTATGTGCAATGAAGATAATGGTGTCTGTTCTACTAATCTTTCTTTATCATGCTTGTACTTATGATTCGTTCCCGTTGTTCATGAAGGTGGAGGAGTCAACTCATGTGGCGTGTCTTCTTCACTTCTGCTATTGTGGCTGTTGTGGTTCGAACTGCAATGGGGTGGTGTAAGAGTGGAAAATGTGGACACTTTGGGTCAGGTGGATTCATAATATGGGATATATCAGAGTTAAGATCTGAGCTATCACCTTTTTTGCAGTCAGTTTAGTATTCAAATATTTGATTTATTCCTTTCTCTTCTTGACTGGTTTTATTTTTAGTGGTCAAGAAGATTATTCCTTTGGTGAGCTATTGCCAATGGCTATTATTGGGGTTATTGGAGGTCTGCTAGGTAGGAACTAGGAATATTTCCCTTTACTTTTGTACTTCAAGTATGGCTTGGATTTTAGTTGGCCATGGTAGGTACATTTGTTAATATAGTATCCATCACTTTCAGGAGCTTTATTCAACCAACTTACACTTTATGTTACTACTTGGCGTCGAAATCATCTTCACAAGAAAGGGAACAGGGTCAAGGTATGGTGTTGATTTGATCTGATTGCTATCTGCTCTGCTTTTGTAAAATAAAGAAAAATCAATAGGGTGAAAAAGAAATTAAGGAAGAAAAAGGCAACAAAAGAAGGGAAAAAACTTAACTGAACTGAAGAAAGTGATTACTGTCAACAAAATTATTTTATATTCTTCACCTGTCCACTTTCTTCCCTCACTTGTCTGTTTACTTTTCCCTCATTCTCCTCTTCCTTGGAACTGCAGATTGTTGAAGCATGCCTTGTATCACTTTTAACATCAGTCATTTCATTTGGATTGCCACTTCTAAGAAAATGTAGTCCTTGTCCTGAATCTGATCCTGCATCTGGTATTGAATGTCCGCAACGTCCTGGAATGTATGGGAATTATGTAAATGTAAGTATGTTGTTTTTATGTTGTTTCTTTGAAGTGCTTTATCATCTTCATGTTTAATTTTTTGTTTGAAATTGTGAAAGTAGATATTCTTTTGAATTCATCTCCTTTCTAAAGATGTTAGTGATGCTCCTTTGGTTTAATTATTTTGGAGGTTCTATTGTAATTTTGTGCTTTTTGCAGTTCTTTTGTAGCAAAGACAATGAATACAATGATCTTGCAACTATTTTCTTCAATACACAGGTTTGGAGTGAACAGCACATTTTAGTTTGTTTTTCTTTTCTTATTATCTTACATTAATTTACTTCCCTTTTGTTTCAGGATGATGCCATAAGGAATTTGTTCAGTGCAAAAACAATAAATGAGTACAGTTCCCAAAGTTTATTGACCTTTTTGGTATTGCATTCTCACTTGCTTCCTGAACTTTGCATACATCAGACATCAATGTTGTGATGTTTCTCTATGTTATGATTATAATGAAACTATGGACTTTGCTATATCATATATGCTAGAATTACATGCTAAGCATGTATGTAAAATTTTTAATGAGAAAACAGCAGGTGAGCAGATGATAGAAACCAATTACTGAATGTAATTAAATATATTTAGGATGGAGGTATGGTTTTTCCGAAAGGGCATAAAAAATATACTTTCTTTTTATTATAATGCATAAAATAGGCCAATTTTCTCCCCATGCAGGTCCTGTTCATCAAAGTTACAACAGGAATTCCAGTTGATTTATCTTCATACCCATATTGGATAGAGTTGGTAATTGGCACTTTTGATGCTTAAGTTATTTATATAGTGATTATTACTTTTACTATCTTGCAGGTTATGTTTTATGCTTTAGCAGTCGTGACATTTGGTACTGCTGTGCCAGCTGGTCAATTTGTTCCTGGTATAATGATAGGATCAACATATGGACGTCTTGTTGGCATGTTTGTTGTAAAATATTACAGAAAACTCAACATTGAAGAGGGAACGTGAGTGTGTTGCAAGTTTCTTTTCTTTTAAATTATGATTAACATGATATGTTTTTTCCTATTTTATGTATGAGTTGATTTTATTCTTAAACAACATTTATTTTATCAATTAATCAACCTTGCTGTTTTCTGGTTAATACACACTCCCTGCCCCCTTCTTCTCCCACTTTTATATAATGTCTCAGTGGAAAATGTATTCTCTCTTTGAAGAGCTGACTGACAAATTGAACACTAGTATTTTGGTCGATCCAGAATCAATGAGCTATTAAGTAGCTGTTTTCCTCTTGATCCATGAGAGTAGTATTTTTATTCTTCTTCATATTTGACAGTTATATTTTTATTACTTCTCTCCTGTCTATATTTTTCTTATTTTACATGTTGATACCTTGGATATAGTGCCAGAGGATAAATTTCAAGCAGTGGAGAGTTTGATTCTCTATTCAATTACTTTTAGGAGTCTTGTTTTGTTGGGTTCTAGTCCACTTCTACCGTGTTGTTTTTGTTTGTTTGGTATTTTGGGAATGACCCATTATATTTGTATTTTTTGTTTCTGTTTTCTTTATTGTACTTTGATCTGGTTGTTTCCTTCAATGCCCCCTCTGCATTTTTTTGGTTCTTCATTGGCTGTTGTGTTAAACCTGCATTAGCATCTGAGGCACAATTTTTGAACTTATTTGAAGAATTTGGATATTGTTACCTTTGTTGTAATTTCTTGTAGACTTTTATACTATGTTGGTGGTTCACCTATTGCTGATGTGGTAGGGATTGTCCTTCAGAGTCCAGACAATTTGATTAACAAAGCAACAATAACCGTTTGATATGTGAAATTCAGGAACTTGGACTAAAGATTACCTCTTTTAACGTTTGTGTTAACTGTTGTTTTAGTAGATGCTACACATATATAATCCCCTTATTGAACACTCATGCTACTGGTTTTGTGGGACTGTGTTGTGAATCCAAATGACAAGAGGAAAAGGATGTCTTGTAGTGTTTATTGGATCACCAATGTAGAACCTCGAGAGAATTCTCCTTCCATGGGTTTCCCCTTTTCATGACAGAGCTAATGCTCAGTTCTCAAATGATAACAAAACAGAATGAGTGAACTTTTATTTGCCTCCTACTATTTAAGTTGACCACCCAACTAATTCTGTAACTCACTACATTTAACCAACTGAAGTCTTGTTTCCTTTTATTCTTCCTTGTGAGTCCTAATAATACTGGAATATAATATTTGCTATTGGAGCCTCTAGTATGCAGAATGATTTTTTATGTTGTACTCATTATTTTTCCCGAAGTTTACATGTGATATGTTTCTTATCTTCAGGTATGCCTTGCTGGGTGCTGCATCTTTTCTTGGAGGTTCAATGAGGATGACAGTGTCTCTCTGTGTTATTATGGTTGAAATCACAAATAACTTAAAAGTTTTACCTCTTATTATGCTTGTTCTTCTTATATCGAAGGTATGCACATCATAAATCCCTATTACAGAGAAAAGTCAGTTAAAAATGCGCTAAGTTTTCCCCTTACAGGCTGTTGGTGATGCTTTTAATGAGGGTATCTATGAAGAGCAGGCTCGATTGAGGGGGATTCCATTACTGGAATCAAGGCCTAAATATGAGATGCGGAATATGACAGCAAAGGAGGCCTGTGGGAGTGGAAGGGTAAGTATAATTTTAAAATTATATAAGAAGTTGTGTATACATTAATAGTTGTTGTCTTAGTAAATGGTGTTTTCCTGCGAGTTTTTCCAGCTAGTGGGAGGGGATTTTAAAATCTTTTAAGAAATTGCCGGAGAGCTGTTGTTCGCTGTTTTCCAAGTAATTTTTTTTTTCTTTCAGCATTTGCAGTGCTAAATTTGTCTGGATCATAGGAAATATATTTTGGCTACTCAAGTTTAAGGGAAGCCTAATTAAACTACTGACCTTTCTTGATTTTTTTCTAATTTAATTGAAGAAAGAGGTTGCCTTATTTCAAGGCAAGATTGAAATATTTTCTTTCTCCTGATCTAGCATATACAAAGGAAGATGGGTAGGGAGAGAGAGGAGAGATTTGCCAAAGAGAAAGGGCACCATTATCATGATTTTGCCAAAGATGGGCACCATTGTCATTCACTTTCTTTTTTTTTTTTTTGGGAGGGGGGTGGGAGTTGAATACATGTAAAATAGATAAACTTGATGAGCTGCTGCTGATGCTTATACTGGATTAATTTTTCACATGCTCTGTACTGTAGTTATTCCTTTTTGCGACTGATTGTATTTGTAAATCTGTCTTTTGAAGGTGGTCTCTTTCCCTCGTGTTGTTAAGGTTTCAGATGTAGTTTCCATTCTGCAGAGCAACAAACACAATGGTTTTCCAGTATGTATAGCTCATGTACTAATCTTGTCTTAATCATTTTTTCTCACATTTTCTAAGTTTTATTTCACAATTCATTATTCACAGGTGATTGATCACACAAGAAGTGGAGAACCACTTGTTATTGGATTAGTGCTTCGGAGGTGAGTAATGAGCACAGTAAACTTCTTTTTTATTCTGTGTATACTCTGATGCCATTTTGGTTGTAACTCAAGGTTAAACCTTACCACCCTTGAAAACGATATTCTTTTCTTCTGCAGTCATTTATTGGTAATTCTGCAGTCAAAGGTTGATTTCCAGCATAGTCCTTTGCCGTCTGATCTCAGGGGTGGGGGCAGGTCCATTAGGTAAGGCTTCATGAGATTTGTTTAGTTTGCCTTTTTCATCTGGATTCTGTATTTCTGATGACTTTCCTTAACTTCTAGACATGATTCTGGTGAATTTGCAAAGCCTGTTTCTAGTAAAGGAATATGTATTGAAGATATACATCTAAGTTCAGATGACTTGGGAATGTACATTGATCTTGCCCCATTTTTGAATCCCTCACCATATATTGTTCCAGAAGATATGTCTTTGACAAAGGTGTGCCATTTAAAATCCTTTAAATGATCTTTTTCATTTCTGTTCTCCACTTTTGTTGTCAGATAACTATGTTGTCTTATGGATGACACAGGTATACAATCTTTTCCGCCAACTTGGTTTAAGGCATTTATTTGTTGTTCCTCGTCCATCTCGTGTGCTTGGTTTGATAACCAGAAAAGATTTGTTGATTGAGGTAATCTTTCTTAGTGACTGTTGAATTTTTTGCCATTTTGGAGTAGATGGTATATTTTTTTTTCTCTATCTCCTTACTTTACTTTGTCATTGGGCAGGACACAGAAAATGTGAATACGTTAGAGCTTCAGTCAACTAGTGTAAGGTCTCTGATGCTTACACACTTTACATCCTATTCAGCTTTTTCAAATTTCAAATTTGAATATTTTACGTCAAACATATTTGTTTAGATTCTAAAAGCTGTTGAGTTTTTCTTTGTAGTGCATTGCCACGGTGCCTATAAAACTGAGTACTATTTTGGTGGGTCTCTGCAAATTTTGATCTGATATTTAGTGTCAACAATGTAATTGCTGTTTGGTCAAGGTTTGCACGTCAATGCAACTTGTCGAAGTATCATAATTCAGAAACTTAAACCAATTATTCTTTTGAATAATGCACTAGAGTATAAAATAGGAAGGTTATCCTTGTATTCATGGCGTGACAATCTTTTGTAGTTTCGTACCTGGAAACTGTACTTAATAATCTTTATGAAAGGTGTCATGACAATGTGTGCTCAACTCTACTTACAGAAAGGTGTATGCATTTGTCAACATTTTTGTCAAATTACGTCCTTCCAAAGAAACATTATTCAATGATTAAAAACTTCTAATCAAGTGGTTCTCTTTAGTACAGTTTATGCTTCTTAATTAGATCTGCTGAGTTCTTGGATTGAGCTTAATAAATGGTAAAGTATGCAAGTGACCTGTCCAATAAAAGTGGACTTTTATGTTTATTTTATATATAATTTCATCTTGTGTGCAAAGTCATTTTCAGTTTCCAGTGAGATTCTGAGCAGTTTATGCATGGTGTGTCTGATTTTAGATCCATTGAGGATGAATGAGATGTCAAACTTATATGGCTTTTCAGATTTTGTTGTCTTTTTCCAGCAGTAAAATTTTGTGCAACTTTGTTGCCTTACTTTATGCATCTATCAGGATTCACATACATCTATAAATTGATTTAAGTCGTGTTCATGATTTTCTCATCACAGAACTCGGCAGGATAAAAGATGGACAACAAGGAATTCAGATGTGGAACGCCCTTTGCTAAATGGTTTTCTGGTTCAGAATCAGATACCTGACTAACACTGCTTGCAACTTACTCCAAGTCCTTTCAGCTTCCAATTTTCCTTGAATATCATTCTTTATTATTTCTTGTATTAATGTTCTTTTTTTTTTCGTCAACTTATATTAATGTTCAAATAGGTTGGAGAAACCAATATTTGGGAATGGGTTGTAGACAGCATTGCCTAGAATTTTGTATATTATCAACTAGGGAAAGGGGGAAAAGAATTCATTATAATGATAGCTGAATTAGCATATGATTTATTTAAACGATTTTTTTTTCTATTTCTTTTTTGGTGGAGGTCATTGTTATAGTTTTCTCCACTTTGTATTGCTTATAATGAAGTGCCTAGTGCAGGCAGGCGTATTCGCGGGATTGGATTAGTCCAGAATAATGAAAGAATCTCACTTTTTTCTTTTCTTTCTAAATTTCCCGTTAAATTAGTTTGATTTTAAATTCAAATTTCACTGTTAGGTTGTTTTATTTAGTTTTTCTCAGATGTTTGAAATATACAATTAATATGATAATAATTCATTCGAGTATCAAATATAACATAGTATAATTTATTACAAGCTTAAAATTGGTCTATTTTATTTCATTTCATTTATATACCCAATGTTCGAACCAGTATTCTTAAGTTATATGCTTTTTTTTTTTTTAATTTACTTTATTTAGGGATTTAGTTAAGAAAAAATTATCTTTTCTGCCTGACGCATAAACGATCAATTCATAATCTGAGCGCCTCATCCAAAGGTAAAGCCTTCAAATATTTTTTTTAAAAACAAATTTTAACGTAATATAAATAACAACTTAAACGTAAATAATAGTTTGCGAATCGACCTTTTTGTGTTAAATCATATTGAGACCTGTAAGTAATTTGTTAAAATTAGTTTTTATGGTTAATGGCAAAAAAAATTAGTTCTTACTTCTTATGGTTAATATTAAATAACTGAATATCATATTTTTTATTTAAAAAATACTATATTTATTAACTTATTATCCTCTTGCTTTAAAGAAAAAATAATATTTACAAACTAAATCACAAACAAAATCTAATGATTTATTTACAAACTCATACAATTTGATTCAACTAAATCCCATTCTTTTAAATAAATTACTAATTTTATTATCTATTAATATAAAATTAATAAAAATAATTATTTTTTACTTAAGAGGACATATAATTGATTTATAAGGAACAGTGAAAATTACTTATTGATATACCTTGTTTTGTTAATAGATTAATGGTTTAACTTATTAAAAATTTTAAAATATAAAAATATTTAAGAATATATGCAATTAAATTATAATTCACATAAATAATTAATTTTATTAATATTAATATTTAACTTTTAATATTTATTATATGTATATATAAAATTTTTTTTAGAAAAAGAATCTTCTCATATTAATATAAAATTAAAAAAAATTCATTTAATTTAAAATTTTCATTTAACTTATATTTAATGAATTATAATTTATTATTTTATGTTATTAAATGTAAATCAAATGAAAAATTTAAATAAATGTAAAGATTTTTAGATTTATATTATTATAAAAAATTATTATTTTTTTAAAATTTTCAACTGCCTGTTTTAGCATTCATGCGTGTGTCTGTGTGTATATTTTGTGTGTGCGCCGACCATTTATTTTCTTTTTGGAAATATATCAATGCCATTTATAATTCGTGGTCTGTAAGGTGTTACTTCAGAAAATATCAGTCATTTAATAGTTTTGCCTTTAAAGTATAAATAGATATTAAATATGAGTAATACATATACTTAATCTCTCAAATTATAAATATCAATTGATATAATCCTTTATTTTTATAATTTTCAATTAATTTAGTGTTTAATATTAGCACTATTAATTTATATACTTTCTACCATTGTAAAATTAGTCAATTTCATTTTAAAAATTGTTGATCATTATCAATTTGAAGTGACCAAACAAGCTACCTAAGGATTGAAATGACCAAAAGTTTTGTCAAAATTAAAGATCAAATTGACGGATTCTTAACATTAGAAATATACAATGAGTAATAATTGGTGACTTTAATGGGTTTTAAAAATAATTTGAAAGACTAAAATAATTCATAACGATTATTTTATTAACAAAAGAAGTTTGCTATCAACATTTCTTAATTAAATTTAATAAAATAATATGAGAATTTTTTTAATTATTATTCCTAGCATCCTAAAAATTAAAAATGAAGATAATTTTTTTTTAAAAAAGTAAAGAAAATATGGCACAATCAAACGCGCCTTATAATATTAAAGAACGGTAGAGCAAAACAATGCTTGAAACAAATTAAAAAGGAATATAATATAATACACACCTCAATTTTCACACTTTCCATTTGAACAAATTCAGTCTTCAAATTCAAACACAAATGGAAAATTTTAAAAAGCAGCGGATCCCAGCACCAATTAATGCACACAAATTACGGTTTATTTGTTTATGTTTTGATTTTTAATTTTTATAATTATTTTTTAAAATAATTTAAAAATTATTTTTTTTTTTAAAATAAAATTTATATTAACAAACAAGTTTTTTTTTTTTTTTTAAAAAGAACCAAGCCCATAATATCTTGCTTCAATCTTGTTTGACTTCCACAGCAAAAGTTAAAGAGATACTGTACTAATAAAGGATATAATAAAAAATATTAAATAATGTTGAAAAATGATAAAATTTATAGTATATATAATAATTTTTAGATAATAAATAAAATGATATTGATATTATATATTTATATTTGTTTGAGCTATTGTTGCACCGACCAATGAACATTCCTATATATCCTTCAAATTTGGGTGATTGCGCTAGTCGTAAAATCAAGGTTTAGATCTTGATTCAACCTTGTGAATTTTAGCCGCAAGATAGTGGTCAAGATGTTATATTTATTTTATTATGAAATTTATATTTTTGATTTTATGTTTCTAAAATTATTTTTTATAAACTTTGAATTTCATGAAATTATATTTTCATAAACTTTGAATTCCATGATTCTCACATAATATATAAAATTTCACACACTTAATGATTTATAAAGCATTAACGTAATGTCTTTAACATATCTCTTTTTAGTGTTTTTGACCTGTCTTTTATTTTATTTATAAAAAAGTATTTTTTTTATAATTGTATTATAATTATATACTCCATATTTTATATTTAACAATTATCATATTAAATATTTAATTAGAATTATATTATAAGTTATATAAACTACTGTATAAATTATTAAAAAAAATGTATATAAAGCAGCAATACAGAAATAATATCAAACAGATTAAACTTGTATGTGTTTAAAATTATATTTTCTAAATTTTTATTCTTTTAAATCATTTTCTCACAGTAAATTCATGTATATTTTAACTAAAACAATCTTAATATTACCTTAAATATTTGAGATCTTGAGCCGACCAAGTTGGATACGAACGCAATGTACATTAGTATGGCCATCAACATCGTGACTTGCAGTTCACCAACTTTGGTCATTAAGAAGCATCGTTCAATATGGTACCACGTCCATTTTGTATTTGGTGCAAGCATCCCATGAAAATGTTGTAAGCAAATTTAGGAATACCTTATATGATTTTATATATATAACATTCCATCAGTTTAACAGTAATAAATTGGATAATTTTATTGCCTATCATTTGAATTATCAATCTGGTTGATCTTTTTTAGCAGATAATTAATCTTTAAACGATTATGTTTAAAATATAATCATTTTTTATCATATACTTTTATTTAGTGTAAATTTAATTACACAAGAGAATCGAGTTATAAATATATAATGTATCTAATTTATTATTTTAAGATAAAAAAAAATATCATATTTTTATTCTATCATAATGAATCCTTAATCATTATCACAAGTTCAAGAGGATATATTTTCTCCCAACATAAGTCATATACTTTGGTCAACCCCATCTTGTTCTCCAAGGGATTATTGGGCCTTATGCTTGTTAATTAGCTCATTCGTTATGCATATATACAAACTTGACAATATTAAATACTAGTAGTACTAATCCCATGTGGACTTAATCTTTCCTCCTTCAAGTTTAAAGACTTTGTTAAAATAATAACGTGCTTAGGATGTTTCTTTCAATAGCCAAAATTCCAAGCTTATTAAATCTCACCCACATGGCATAATAATGTTCCTTCTTCTCACTAGTGCTCTCAATTCAACATACAACTTTTTTTTTTTGGCTTGTTCTCTTGCAATGCCATCAAGTTTAGCCATTTTTAAAACAAAATCATTGTCTTTATTTCATCTCTTTATATTTGACTCATTCAACTCCTCAACAACGACAATGTCATTTAAAAAGAAAAAAAAAAGGCGAAAATTGAGGCGGTTTTGAATATCACTCAGCATGCATGCTTTGTTATTCTCCACAATTTTATGGATATATAATAAAAATGGTGCAATATTAGTTATTACATGTTTGGCAACAGTAGCTAGGGTTGGAAGCATACCTAACTTAAATAGTGACGTGACCGATGCTAATAGTAAGTTGTAAATCAAATGGAATTTAAGTTAGGATGTTTATTTAAATAAAAAATGAAATTAATAATAAAAAGGTACGAATTATAGTTTTACATATGTTTTCTACTTTAACATAATTGGAGAATCGTGCTTCATAATTGGAGAAAATGATATAGTAATTGTTGCAATTTGTTTGAAATTTAATCAATCTATCATTGAGCTTTTGAATATCCATATCTTGGTATTCATGTTTACTTAGGAAATATATATAATATTTTATATTTTTCATGTAATAATTATAAAAAAATATTAAAATTTCATGCAGTGAATAGATGAAAATTATAAAATATAATTATATTTCAATAAATTTGTGGAGTCTATCTCAGTATTTGTCGAAGATGCATACAAATTGCAGCTTGTCCCATCCATCTAAAGCGAGACCACTGTAACAGTGAGAATTCATAGATTCAATTTGGTGGCCAAAATTGTGGACACGTGTCATATATATTAGGGAAGTAGATTCAATAGCAATCCAATTCGTATTGTACAAGAATTTTAACTAGGTGAAAGATGGGAGGTAGCTGTCCAACAAACTACTAGAATATATTAGGGATTGAGGTGGTCACAATTAAAACAGTGTTGCATAACTTGTGCCCAAGATGGTTAAAGATAAGAATAAAAGTGCATTTCCTAGGAAATAATAAATATGATGAATTTTTATCATAGCTTAAGTAATGTGACAATTATCTACATTATTATTGTTAATGTGATT